GCCTGGTTTAGTCCTGGTTTAGACCTGATCCAGTCCTGGTGTAGTCCTGGTTTAGACCTGGTTTAGTCCTTGTTTAGTCCTGGTTTAGTCAAGGTTTACACCTGATCTAGTCCTGATGTAGTCCTGGTTTAGGCCTGGTTTAGTCCTGGTTTAGACCTGATCCAGTCCTGGTGTAGTCCTGGTTTAGACCTGGTTTAGTCAAGGTTTAGTCCTGATTTAGTCAAGGTTTAGACCTGGTTAAATCCTGGTTTAGATGTATTTTAGTCCTGGTTTAGACCTGGTTAAATCCTGCATTAGACCTATTTTAGTCCTGGTTTAGACCTGGTTCAGTCCTGGTTTACACCTGGTTCAGTCCTAGTATAGTCCTGGTCCAGTCCTGGTGTAGTCCTGGCGATCGGCTCTGCGTTTGTGGCGTGTATACATTTATAATCCACTAATGACATGACGTAGGTTCAGTCCTGGTTCAGTCCTGGTTTAGTCCTGGTTTAATCCTGGTCTACTGGGCTGACCCCGATTTATCACGGGCACGGGCGGGTAACGGTGTGGATTTAACTTTGATATAATCGCGGGTTGACGGGCAGGTGCGGGTCTCCAAAAACGGACCGGTGCAGGACTCTGGCTGCGGTTGCTTGTAACACCGCCTCTTCCCACCAGGGGGCGTTACGTGGAGTTAAGACCCAAATACTTTTCCTCCAAGGCTCAAACTGTTAAACTGTGTAATGTAAATACTCCCTGAGATATAAAGTGATTTGGGATCAGGATAAACACGGCTGGTTATTTTAATATATTTATGAGATATGAGAGTTTATAATGTAAAGAACAACATCGGTTCCTTTTAACGTGAAATAACAAATCCCACATAAAAACAAGCAGCACGAATATGACTGAGTATAATAAAACTACAGGCCACACTTTGAACTGTGCGAAATAAAATAAAAATAAAGCATCTTACAATTCTGAAAACAGTTCAAACATTACAAGAAAATAAGGCTGAAAGATCTGAAAACGGAAATACTGAAAAGTAAATATTGTGTAATTCATGTGTTTTACTGTGTTTAGGATCAGGGTTATTTTTAAAGGCGCGTTGTGTCGTGTGTGTCATTTGTTCATCCGTTTTTCAGTATAAAAACAAAAATAGGAAAATGAAAAAACAACTGTTTTCTTCACTATTTGTCTCCAAAACCAAAATGAAAAAAACAGATAATGATTTGTTTTTTCAGTTGTTGATTTTGTGTTTAAATGAATAATGGAAAAAACGGAACTGAACCAGGACTAAACCAGGACTAAACCAGGTCCAGGACCAAACCAGGAACCAGACCGGGACTGAGACTGGGACCAGGACAAGGACTGAGACTGGAACTGGGAGTAAGACCAGGACTGAAGGCGGGATCAGACCAGGACCAGACCATGATTGAGACCTGGACTGGGACCGGGACTGAGATCGGGACCAAACCGGGACTGAGACCAGGACCAGACTGGGACCGGACCGGGACCAGACCAGAACCAGACCGGGACTGAGACCGAGACAAGGATTGAGACCGGGACTGAGACCGGGACCAGACTAGGACTGAGATCGGGACCAAAACAGTACCAGACCGGGACTGAGACCGGGACCAGACCGGGACCAGACCGGGACCAGACCGGGACCAGACCGGGACTGAGACCGGAACTGAGACCGGAACTGAGACCGGGACTGAGACCAGGACCAGACTAGGACTGAGACCGAGACAAGGATTGAGACCGGGATTGAGACCGGGACTGAGACCGGGACCAGACTAGGACTGAGATCGGGACCAAAACAGTACCAGACCGGGACTGAGACCGGGACCAGACCGGGACCAGACCGGGACTGAGACTGGAACTGAGACCGGGACTGAGACTGGGACCAGACTAGGACTGAGATCGGAACCAAAGGGGGACCAGACCGGGACTGAGACCGGAACTGAGACCGGGATTGAGACCGGGACTGAGACCAGGACCAGACTAGGACTGAGATCGGGAACAAACCAGGACCAGACCAGGACTGAAAACGGTTTAGTCCTGGTTTAGTCTTGTTTTAGTCCTGGTTGAGTCCAGCATCACAGTTTAAGTCACAGCAACATGAATCTATAATTCATTTAAACACAAAATCGAAAACTGAAAAACAAATCATGATCTGTTTTTCATTTTAGTTTTGGAGACAAATAATGAAGAAAATCGTTGTTTTTTCATTTTCTTATTTTTGGTTTTATATTGAAAAACGAATAAACGAATGATACACAGATTCCTAACATAGACTTCCACTCAAATTTCGTGCCTGAGATGAACCAAAATCAGAAAAAACCCCCCCAAAAAAGCAGAAACCTGTTGCCATTTAAAGCGTTATTATCTTCAAAGTTGTCCACAGATGCGCCCACTCGCCTCATCGCCAAAGATCGTCTCTGGCAGCAACGTTTGGGATTTGTCCTTCTTCGGGGCATCTTTCCCAGTCGTCCTGCCCTTTTTGACGGAATATTTATAGCCACTGTTCAGCTGTATCCTGTTAGAAGCTGTTTCTCTTACTACTCATCGTGTTAGCAGTTTCTCCTCTCGAGTGTTTGCGTCACCGTCTGCGGCTGTGGGAATACTGGGAGTTTATTCGCAGGATGAGGGGTCCTTAGAGGGCCCGGGTCAAGTTGAAGTCCATTGTCCTTCCATTAACTCCTTAAAACGTCTTGACATCTTCTTCCTGGAAAAACAAGTTCATCTTTTTGCCGAGGTTGGATAACAAGACGGAAAAAGCCTCACACGACTTGGACGTTTGGAGAAATAAATCAAGTCAAATCAAAACACTACAAGCTTAATAACTGCATTTCAAGATGATGTGCCGTTGGGAAATACGGATGAACACGAACTTCAGCCGCAAGAGGGCAGTAAAGGGAAAAATATCTAGTTTTATGACTTTTTTTTCCAAAGTTTAAACCCAATAATTACAAATAAACACGTAGATTCTGTGTCATTAACAGTCTATTGTCTATATATACCCAATTTCACCACAGGGGGCAGTATTTTTTGTTTATTTACACTTCCAATCAAACGTTTGGACACACTTTCACACTTTTCCATTCATGTTTCCTCTTTTTTTCCATGATTATTTCCATGATCATCGTAGAGTCTCATGGAAAGCATAAAAACTGTGAATGGACACATACGGAAAGTAGTAAACAAAAAGTAAACAACACAAGTTTTAGATCAATTTTGTTTTTTCTCTTTGCTTTGATCACTGCTTTGCACTTAAGGCTTTTTCACTGAGAGAAGGCCAAGGGTTTGCAGCAATGTTGACAAAGCAGAAGGCAGATACTAAAATCAAATAAAAAATATTAGTTTAACTTTTCTTTTCTACATAATTCCATATATCTTGCTTCATACATTTGATCTCTTCTGTTTGTATCGAAGGCGACGTTCAGACTGCAGGGTTTTTGGATTTTTTTTTGCAAGTTTGTTCACATTTCCCATTAAATACGACTTGTATGTGATCTCCAGTGTGAACTTTAAACGCCCCAAAAGTATTCCGCATTCGCATTGGAGGACACGACGACGTAACATGCAGTGAGTGTGCTCAGTGTTTACAGAAATTGCCTAAACGCTGAGCTTATCTCCCAAAATATGGTCCAGTTCTTGGTAAAATTGACAGGTTACACATCCACGGCCGCTTCGTTAGTTTGAGTCTTTATCCTCCTTGTATTTGACTCATAGGCTCTTTATTTTTCGTTGACATTTGGAGCCAGGACCGCCTGTAGCCGCTCTCGGACATTTCTTTGGAAATCATTTCAAAAACCGCCCTGGTTCCGATAAGACTCCTCCAATTTGGCCTGAATACAACGATCCCCCCCAAATATTAAACTTTTTAACCTCGTTCTCCCTCCACTGACCAGACGTGTGCGGCAAAATCTGTGGAGTTCAGATGGAGGATTTGGCTTCTCTGCGTGGAGACATCGAGTGCTCCAAAAGACTAAGGCCATACTGAGCCAGACTAACCACGCACTGCACTTATAGTTTGTGTAAATGCCGTCTGGGAAGCGATATGTCGCCCCATAACAAAAGACCAACCGCTGAAGCTTTTAAATGGAAAGTAAATTTGCTATTGTGTCCCCTGATGCACTGAGGATTGAATGTGTGGCGTATAACGTTGTTGATTGATTGACTGACTGACTCTGAGCCTGACGTGTAGGTGGGATGAATGTGACCTGACGTTTAGACTGAAGTCGCATGTCCAAAGATCGGATATGTATCGGTTTTAGGAGCACATATCCAAGTGGCCTGGGTCGCATTTGGATCGGATAAAAAATCTAAATCAAAAAGAGGCCAAAAAATCGGATTTGGGTCACTTCAAGCTGCAGTCAGAACGTAGCCTATGATGTAGAAAGAAACCATAGAACAGATGTGGGACCAAGTCGTTGTTTTGCAAGTCTCAAGTCTTTGATGTCAAGTCTAAGTCAAGTCCCAAGTCAAAGACGAGCAAGTCCAAGTCGAATCTCAAGTCAATGGCTCATAAGTCGTGGTGGTGGTCGGAGGGGCTGATGGCGCAGATTGGCAGCCTCGCTTCTGTCAGTCTGCCCCATGGCAGCTGTGGCTACAGTAGCAGCTTACCACCACTGAGTGTGGAGTGACTGAATAATGAACTGTAAAGCGCTTTGGGTATCTTAAAAGGTGCTATATAAATGCTATCAATCAATCAATAAGTCCAAGTCCAAGTCATCTGCTTTGAGTTTCAAGTCATTTCAAGTCTTTAAACCAAAATACCAACTATAGCTTAGATTTTTGCAATTTCTATACTTTTTTTAAAATAAATTGTACTTAAAAAGTCATGGTATGTGAGTATTTATATAAGAGTTGTAGAAATGCTCATTTTTCCTTTTCAAATATATTGACAAGAGTGCAAATTTTTAAGGTCAGAACAGAAATAGTTAAGATTTAAGAGTGCTTAATGAAAGTTAATTTGTCAACTAGTCTAAGTATCAAGTTACAGGCCTCAAGTCGAGTCCCAAGTCCTTGTCTGTTTTATCAAGTCAAGTCTCAAGTCCTAAAAATAGTTACTCAAGTTCAAATCACGACTTGCAAGCCCCCAACTCTGCCATAGAAAAACTACACGGAATGAGAAGGTGTGTCCAAATATTTGACTGGTAGCTTATTTATCTAAAGGTCTGTTCTATATAGATTCTACGATTCAAGTTACAATTCAATTTCCAACTATAAAAGGCACAAAAATTGAAAAAATAAAACACTGCCTGCTAACTATCAAGTGAATTCACATATGAACGAATATTCACCCATAAAATAATATTGCTTATTGGAGTTTAAGTGGTTTAAAACGTCTGTAAATACCACCTCCAGCCATAGGGGGCAGTAGAGAAAAAAAATCCATGTTTCCCGCCATGAATTACTGACAACGATGACTTAATCCACGAAGTATGTCACCACTGAACGCTTCAATTTTCCGAGATTTTTTTTTTTTACTTTCTCAAACAGAGTCCGCTGTCTCCAAGTGCTTCAAGTTGAGCTCATAGTCTTACACTTTTTTTTTTTTTGACATTTCAGTCGCTGTCTTTCCTCAAACTTCGATCCGTGAGGAGGTTGTTTGGCTCTGGACTCTTGCACTGGATACTGGTCCCGTTCATTTGTCCGATGCTGCTGACCTGGTTGTCTGAGTAGCACCAGCAGCAGAGGCACGACTGGGGAGAGATTTGGGAAAAGTAAACATTAGCGTTCAAATACATCGCAGACTCGAGGGCTTCGTGCGTGTTACGTGAGAAGAGTAGTCATGGTTTATCTCTGCGGGGCCAGCTCTGACTTTTAAAAGTACAACCTGAGACCGTAAACCCAAACGGGGCAGATGGGAGACGTTGCTCACCGAGACTCATCCCTGTATCACGGACCATGAGTCATTTTTGTGTTTACGCAAGTCTTAAAATCTGTCTTTGCTCTTTAGATAATAGTCATGCCACGTACAGTAAGTGAGACGTTAAGTGAGATTACTAAATGCTTTACTATATCTCTGGGATTGGAAAGTCTGTTTTCATTATCCTGTCCTTTTAAAGGGCCTTTAATTTAACCTTTTATTTCTTCTAATTCAGAGTTTTTGTTTCCCAAACTTCTTTTCTTGGGACCCATATTTTAAAAGTCACAAATCTTCGCGACCCAAGTCAATAGACATTATTAAGTCACAAAATAAAGGTGAATCTGACCAATTTTGAACATTAATGAGGATATTTTATTGTTGACTGAGTGATCGTGTCTCTCTAAACAATTAATATTACTCAGGATTTAAACAATGAATTAATTGAAGCAGCAATAAAAGGATCCATAAGTCGCCTATTTGGACATTAAATGTAGATAATTTCTTTTTCTTTTCATTCAACTGAACCAGCAATATTAGAACAAAATAGTCAATAAAATAATTACAAAAAGATTAGAAATCATACTAAACATGTCTTAAGGTTTCAATATGTGTCAGAACTGTATATTATTAGATTGTGACAAGGTGACCCAAGTCTTTCAGAAACACTGGTCTACAGGACCTGCCAGCACAACAGAAGGATTAAGCAAGGACAAGGGCCACATGGTAAATATAAAACAGGAAAATGTATTTTATCATACAGTGTGTTGGGTACATGCTGCTATTCCAACATGCCGCTTTTTAGACTTTGACGTCTTATTGTCGGAGTAGTGGCATAAACATTATTTTATCAAGCGTCCCACTACTTCGACTTTATATTTTCATCTTCGTTGTAGCGGCGCTTTATTATTTTTCAAACATTTCACTTTTCTGTACTGTTACTGTAATTTTAGATGTGAGAGACACAAATCAGCTCACTCATTGTAGTTCCAACTAAGCCAGTTCTTTATGATCAGACTGCTTAGATTAAAGTCTAATTTAACAGCTTTAGACAGAGCAGTGCCTACAGTTAGCGTCACACCTCCAGTAGGCTGCATCATTTGCCCCAATGTCAGAAATTCAATTTGTACCCAATTTTAAAACGTGACAATACAAATTAAAAGAAAATCTGTGGAATATTTGCACAACTGAATAAGATCTACTGGGTCCACCAAGACTCTGAAGTTCCATTTTAAAGGTGTCCATAAGGACTCTGGCAGAATAATCTATTTTTATTATTATTATTTTTTAAATAATAATTGCTTATTCAAGATCCTTGAAGTCCCAGAGAAACCATATCTCAGAAACGAATGAAGATAGAGACATAAAACTGGTACCAAATGATCCACAATGTCCATATTTATATTCATCTTATATTGAAACTATTAGGGCTAAATTAATTAGTTTTGATGTTATTAAAGAAAAACAGATTTTTCAGCTCAGATTTAAGGTTTCTGCACTAAACTTCAGAGGGTTGGTGGATTCAGTAAACATCAATAGAATTTCAGAATTTCTCATGGAAGTTTACTTTGACAAGTGTAAAAAAACTGATACTAGGTACAGATTGATTTTCAAACATTTTTCAAAAAGTTGAGCAAACGATGCACCCTACCCCCCGGGGAATGTTAAAAACTCAGCTGAAAAGTATCAATAGTCAAAATAGACGACTGTTTTGGAGACCTGCTTGTGTCTCACCTTGAAACAGTTCTTGAACTTTTTGCTGACGAAGTACAAGATAATGGGGTTGATGCAGGAGTTGATGGTGGCGAGGTTGATGCCGACGTAATCAAGAACCAACAGGAAACTGAAAGTGAAAGTAAAAAAAAATAAAAACACACATCTGGTGTCTGCTTATCGTAGGTTTGTTTTAGGAGAATCGTTTGGGACAGTGACTCACTTGAAAAGTTCACAGCGTGACTCATCGTTGGGGTAGTACACCACCTTCTTCAGGATCCGGCTCAGATGCAGCGGGAACCAGCACAGAGCGAATATGAGAACCAGACAGAAGACGGCTTTGGCCACTTCCCTCCTCTGCAAAAGTAAAACATGTTTACTATGAGTCTCACAGAATATCTACAACCTCAACAGTTTGCACGCACCCTTCATTCATCATTCATTCGGAAGACATCATGTACAAGATGCAAGATATAAAGAAAAAAACAGAAGTAACTCAACTATTATTATTATTTTTTTTTTACAAATTAGATTAAAATCCTCAAAGTTTCCACCCTTTGCAAAACCTTGACCTTCTCTTCTTCTGAGCTTCTTGATGAAGTCTCCTGAAATGGTTTTCACTTCACAGTTTTGCCTCAGGATTAAGAAATGCCAAAATTGCACAACAAAGCTCAAAGCAAAGGGCGACTTTTTATTTATTTATTTTGTCTAAATCAAGTTATACCAATGCTTGATACTTGATGTTTTCGAGCAAGACTAATGAGAACAGTGTTATGTGCTGTAACTTTACACACACATACTGTATTTTTCGGACTATAAGTTGTACTTTTTTCATGGTTTGGGTGTTTCCTGCGACTTATATATTAAAATTTTCACACTGACAGAGAGGTTCTAGTCTTGTGTGTGAGTATCTGCTGCTCCTGTTCCTCCTGTACCACTGTCACTTGGCTCTACTGCGCATGTCTCCTGCAGAAAGAGCCTCTGTCCTGTCTGTATCATGTCAGTCGATCGCACCGTTACTTCTGAACCACTGAAAATTTAACATTTAAACAAACGTATAAAGACGACTGAGAAGACTGAACACAAAGAAAATCATATTTTGCAGATTACAAGCTGCAAGTCGTGAAATCTGCATCTGAAAACAGTAATTGAGCAGCAGAAAGAAAGTTTGCAGTGAGCGAGAAACTTGTGACACTGGGAGGATGCACCATGAAACTTTAATAGAAGTCATTGGACGGATGGACAAAGCCTGGACTTCAGTGACACCGAAACCATCCTGTCGGGATTCAAAAAGTCCTGATTAATTCTAACTGGAACTGATGCTGAGCCTGACGACAGCGAAACAGAAGAGTTTGCGTCGCTCTGTTTACCTCCAGAGGTCGAGGAGTTGCTCTGAAGTGACACAGAGGATGAAGAATTGAATGGATTTAGTGATTTGGAGTGAGATGGAGAGTTTGGTTAACTTGTTCTGTTGTTTATGCTATAGTTTATCTGAAGAACTGTTCATATGTGACGTTAACAGTCTGTTGTTCTCTATTATTGCTATAAATTTCCTCTAAAAAGTGCTACTTATAGTCCGATGCAACTTATATATGTTTTTTTCTTCTTCATTATGCATTTTTGGGCTGGTGTGACTTATTCTCCGGAGCGACTTATAGTCTGAAAAATACAGTTTTAGATTTCAGATAAATACATATTGTTACTATTTTTACAGATGGAACAATTTAATCGGGAAGATAAATGTGGGCTTTGCTATGAACTATAAAAGCTAAATATTGGTATCAGCAAATGTCAGTCATCAGCTCATATCCATGTAGGACAAATGGATCCATCCTTGAGTGTTATTAAAAACTTTCCAGTGCAGTCCTTAAGTACTATTGTGTTGTAATCCAAGTACCTGTTTGAGATGTTCGCTGAGGGCGATGCGCAGACTGCCGTTCCTGTGGGTCAGCATCTCCAGAGTCATGAGCGTGTAGAAGATGGCCGTGCAGGTCAGAGGAACGCAGAAGTAAAACCCAAACAGCCACCAGTCCTTTGCATCTTTGTAGAACTGAAACAAAACAAGCACAGGTCGTTAAATTCAACAAAAACATACTCACAACTCTCTGTACTTATGATTTTTCATTTCACTGCAGCCATAATTCTGCTGGTTTTAAGCCTGTGCAATAGTAGAACTGATTTTTATTATGTCAAATTTTGATTTAATTTGGTGGGATTACAGCGGTTGTAAATTTAAATTATAATTTTACACCAATCAAGAAACAATTTGTGAAGAAATGTTAAAACATGTGTTGAAAATTACAGTGGAAGTGGCTTCACACACGTTTGGCACATTTTTCACAAAAGAAACAGTTTTTCTAATACTTTAAACTTGATTTAAACAAAATAAAAGTGTTTTCTTATATTTGTTTTTGTCAGATAATATTTTTGTGTACATTAGTGAGTACAAACAAGTAGACTAACTTGTCATTAGCACTTTAAATGACTTGTTTCATGACATTTCTTTCTGGTTTTAAGGCAACTTTGCGCAATATAAGAAAATCTGTCTGCCATCTGCCAACATCAAAAATGTTTCTGTGACTTAAACTGTGATGCCGGACTTTTGATGACTGACTAAACCAGGACTGGACTGACCAGGACTGAAACCAGGACTGAATCCGGACTTAAAAGAGGACTGAACCAGGACTTAACCAGGACTGAACCAGGACTAAACCAGGACTAAACCAGACTGACTAAAACAGGACTGAACAGGACTGAACCAGGACTGAACCAGGACTGAACCAGGACTGAACCAGGACTGAACCAGGACTAAAACCAGGACTGAACCAGGACTAAAACAGGACTGAACAAGACTGAACCAGGACTGAACCAGGACTGAACCAGGACTGAACCAGGACTGAATCCGGACTTAAAAGAGGACTGAACCAGGACTTAACCAGGACTAAAACAGGACTGAACCAGGACTGAACCAGGACTAAACCAGGATTAAAACAGGACTAAAACACGACTGAAATACAACTAAAACAGGACTGAACCAGGACTAAACCAGTCTCATTTCTGGTCCCAGTCTCAGTCCTTGTCTGGTCCTGGTCTGGTCCTGTTCTCAGCCCCGGTCTGGTCCCAGTCTCAGTCCTGGTCTCAGTCCCGGTCTTTGTTCCAGTCTGGTCCTGGTCTCAGTCCTGATCACCCGACAGTCTATGCGGCCTTCTCGACACTCAATCCTGGTTTAGTCCTGGTTCAGTCCTGGTTCAATCCTGGTTCAATCCAGCATCTCAGTTTAAGTCACGGAAACAGAAAACAGCCATTATCCATTTTATTCATTCTTCATTTAAATCCAAAATCAAAAACTGAAAAAACGAATCATTATCTGTTTTTTCATTTTGGTTTTGAAGACAAATAATGATGAAAACTGTTGTTTTTTTGTTTTATTATTTTTAGTTTTATTTTGAAAAAACAAATGAATGAATGATACATGAATTTAAAACCACACTTAAGAACATTTACTTTGGAAAAACATGAACAACAAATGTTTTTATACTGTTTTTGGTTAAAACGGGAGTCGACGATCTTGAAAATAAGCGATTAAAAATGATTCAAACAAGCACAAATCACTGCAAATAAAACTTGGAGTGAGTAAATGGTGAAAAGAAACAAGTAAACATGGTTAAAAGCGCTGAGAAGTCTATTTGGGGAATGGGCCTCCTTTAATTACCATAAAATAAAAACCTCACTTGTATTTCATAGAGCTTTAGCGTTGTTAAACCAAACCGACCACATCGTCCTGATCTCCAGCCGCTCCCTGCGCTCCCTCTCGCCATAACGCCAGTACTTAACGGCCATGGCTTCTCTGTACGTTGTTACGAGCACCTTCTTCTAATTTCGCCGCGGTGTAATGGGGCCACCCTGCTCTCTGCGGCTCCGTACCGTAAACACGCTCTCAGACCAAACATTTTCCTTGGTTTCAGCACTACTCCTTCACTGTTTTTTTTACGACGGCTGGCATGGAGGAGCGGATATTTGAGGCTCGTACATGTGGTACACAAACACATGTGGCTTCGGGCTCTGTAATTGCACTTGGCCTGCAATCAATTATGTGCTCTGACCGTGTACGAGGGCCTGATCGCTGTAAGCCCAGGGAACGGCTCTTAAAGGGATACAACACGGAGAATTAGTTTTATCTTGTGATCAGTATTTGACAATAGAACCGCACTATGTAAAGAACCGTGTCTATACTTACGTTAATCTACTTAATGTGGGCTCGTTTGGGGTCAGAATCACAACCAAGAACCAGATTTGTTAAACTATTTTAAGTCTGAACAGTCGGTATATCTTAAGCAAAAGATGTTCATTTTGTTTTCTTATAACTTCTTGGGTTCTTTTTTAAAGACAATGCAGTAAAGTGTGTTTACCTTGTTGACATGTTTCGGCTGCTAGAAACATGTCAACAAGGTAAACACACTTTACTGCATTGTCTTTAAAAAGAACCCAAGAAGTTAAAGTCGGTATATCTTTTCTTTACCTAAAAACATGTTTATGTACACTTACAAAGTTTTAGAACAGCCTAATTTTTCCAGGTATTTATTGCAGTTCAAGTCGTGCAAGTCCAATGAAGAGCTTGAAATCGTACAAACTTAAGAACTGAACAGCCAGAGGTTAAAAAAAAAAGATAAAGATAACAAAACACAAGTCCAAGCTCTGCCAAAACTACCTCAGGGAAAAATAACAAGATAGTAAAGCTTGAAAACATGGAGTTTCCAGCACAGTGTCCAGACTTAAACCCCATCGAGCTGGTTTGGATTGAACTGGACAGAAGAGTGACGCAACCTACAAGTGCCACACATTTATGGGAACTTCTGCGACAGACTTGGCAAGAACTTTCTGAAGAATATTTGATTTCTGTTGTAAAAAGAACGAGCCACGAGTGTGTTCAGCTGTTCTATCTGCCAAAGGTGGACACTTTCATCAATCAAAAGTTTAGAATACGTTTTGGTCTATACATTCATTCCATGATTCTTTTTAAAACTCAAATTACTTATTTATTCTCTGCTTTAATTTCAGAGTGCAAACAGTAAAAAACTGTAAAAAATGTGGTGTTCTAAAACTTTTGACCGGTAGTGTATATGTGCCAAAGTCACTAAAATATAAATAAATGTAGAAAATGATAAAGATGGTCTTGATTTGATCTCGATGGGCCGTGGTCTCGGCCTTTAAAAGTCTTGGTCATGTCTCGATCTCAACCCTCAGAGGTCTTGGTCATGTCTCGATCTCAACCCTCAGAGGTCATGTCTCGATCTCAACCCTCAGAGTCTCATCTTCTCGAGTCTCGATCTCAACCCTCAGAGGTCTTGGTCATGTCTCGATCTCGACCCTCAGAGGTCTTGGTCATGTCTCGATCTCGACCCTCAGAGGTCTTGGTCATGTCTCGATCTCGACCCTCAGAGGTCTTTGTCATGTCTCGATCTCGACCCTCAGAGGTCTTTCATGTCTCGATCTCCTCAGAGGTCTCATGTCTCGATCTCGACCCTCAGAGGTCTTTTGGTCATGTCTCGTCAATCTCTCAGATGTCTCGATCTCGACCCTCAGAGGTCTTGGTCATGTCTCGATCTCAACCCTCAGAGGTCTTGGTCATGTCTCGATCTCAACCCTCAGAGGTCTTGGTCATGTCTCAAGATCTCGACCCTCAGAGGTCTTGGTCATGTCTCGATCTCAACCCTCAGAGGTCTTTTTCATGTCTCGATCTCAACCCTCAGAGGTCTTGGTCATGTCTCGATCTCACCCTCAGAGGTCTTGGTCATGTCTCGATCTCAACCCTCAGAGGTCTTGGTCATGTCTCGATCTCAACCCTCAGAGGTCTTTTTCATGTCTCGATGTCATCCCTTAGAGGTCTTGGTCTTGTCTCGATGTCAACCCTCAGAGGTCTTGGTCTTGTCTTGGTCTCGGGACCCTGTGTTCTCGGACAGGTCTTGGTCTCGATTAGTGCGCTCTTGACTACAACACTCAGCATATATGTGTAGGATTTGTGTGTTAATAAAGCCAAAGGTGGACACTTTCATGAATCAAAAGTTTAGAATATGCTTTGGTCAACAGTAAATAGTAAAAAGTAAAAAGTGTGGTATTCTAAAACTTTTGACCAGTACTGTATGTATGTATGTATATAAAATATGCATGATTTAAGTCTCGTTTCCACTGGCATTGTTTGGAAGCATTTCCATTACAATGGGCCCAGGCTGCTTTGGGCGTGACACGGGTCTATACATTTTTTTTTTTTTTTTAGTTTTTAAAGTTTTTTTTTTAAGTAAAAAAAAAAACAAAACAACAACAAAAAAACAAACAAACAAAAAAAAAAAAACCTAAACAAAAAAAAACAACAACAATAACAACAAAAAAACAAAAAACAAAGACAAGAAACAATTTTGAGTTGTTGGTGCAAATTTAAAATAAACATAAAAAAAATAAAAAAAATAAAAATGAGAAAAATTTAATAAAAAAAAAAAAAATAGAGCCCAAATAACATGCCTCTTTTTCTTTTATTTGCCTCTCAGAGCTTCTGTAATTTACCAGATATGTTATCTTCTGTTATTGATTTTACAGCCTCAATATCATTGTGCCAAACCAAAATAGCTCTGTGTGTGAGTGTGTGCCAGGTTACATTTACAGGCTCTCATACCCAAACCTCCAAACAATGAAATTCAAACCTGGAGAAGCGCTTTCACTTTAAGATACTTTCACATTCAAGTTTGTTTTTCTCCTACGGCTTGTTTTGTCTCTGATTTAACCCTTCACAATCTGCACCAAAGTGAAAGAAAAAATATTTACAGGCAGATTATTATTTTTGTCTAGTAATACATAATAATCCAACTATAACATCTGTCTGAAGATCTTTTTTTTTTTTTTTTTTACATTTTATTTACCCCAAGACAGGCCTAAAACTAACCTTACACAACAAGATGGATTCTTAAGTTCACAAGTTGATTTTTGTTCAAATTCGTTCAAAGACGCAGTGCTCAAAAGATCCCAAACTAAATGGTGACGCAGACATAAGAACTTCAGCCTATTTTAGCAAAAATACTGACTATTTTGTTTGGGAAAATGTGCAGAGGGAAGTGATTTGTGCATTTGTGGACAGGGAAGATGTCTGGGCTTTTCTCTCAAGAGAATGTAACAAAAGTAAAAAATTTTTGGCTTCTTCCGCTTTCAGATTCAAATAGTACGGAAGTCAGGAGGGCTCATAACAAATGCAAACTCTGCAACATGTACAAATGCAACAACACAACAAAAAGCCACAACACACCAAAAAGCCACAATGGAAGTGACTGCGGGACTCTATTTTAATGCAAACACCGCAACAAATGCAAACGCCTCAACAAACCAAAAAAAACACAACGGAAGTGACCATGGGACTCTATTTTCTGACGGACCAAGCGAAGCGTTAAAGGGTCAAATGGGAAGTGAATGGGAAAAGTTGAAGAAGAACAAGAAAGTGAAAAGTAAAGGAATGGAAAAGTGAATGAAGTTGGAAACGTAAGTATAAGTAATTTATTGTTTTGTGGCCAGGATCGATGTCACTGACCATCGCTTGGTCCGTCGGAAAATAGAGCCCCGTGGTCACTTCCTTTGTGGCTTTTTGTTTTGTTGTGGCATTTGTATTTGTGTTGTGGCGTTGGTCACTTCCCCTGTTTTTGCCGTGTTGTGCTTTTGGTTTGTTGTGGCTTTTGTTATGTTGTGGCATTTTGTTGTGCTTTTTTGTGTTGTGCATTTGCGTTTGTGTTGGAGCATTTGCATTTGTGTTGTGGCATTTGTATTTGTTTGTGGCATTTGTATTTGTGTTGTGGCCTTTGTATTTGTGTTGTGGCGCATTGTATTAAAATAAAGTCTCGCGGTCTCTTCCCTTGTGGCTGTTTTTGCCTGTGTTGTGGCTTTTTTGGGTTTGTTGTGGCTTTTTGTTATGTTGTGGCATTTGTATTTGTGTTGTGGCTTTTTGTTGTGTTGTGGCATTTGCGTTTGTGTTGCTGTATTTGTGTTAAAACAGAGTCCCGCGGTCACTTCCGTTGTGGCTTTTTTTTAGTTTGTTGTGGCTTTTTGTTGTATTGTCGCATTTGTATTTGTTGTGGCGTTTGCATTTGTTATGAGCCCTCCCGGCTTCCATAAATTGGTCATCATGGCACAAGTTTTACATAAGTCTCCTTTAACTGTCATTTTGTAACCCGTCACATGAGAACGGTTTTCTTACCATCATGAAGTCGGACTGGGGGTTGAGCATGCAGGTGCGGTACGTCTGGTTTCTGTAGGTGAACGGGACGATGTCAAAACCGATGGCCTCTGGGACGGCGAGGAGGAGCGAGAGGACCCAGATGGACACGATCTCGATCACGGTGAACAGAGGGATGCCCACGCCCTGAACTCTGCTCCAGGAGGCCACAGCTCGATACCTGGGAAACGCAAAGAAAACGATGAGAGAGGCTGTCAAATTTGGTCCATGTACAGTACCCAGCAAACTGTAGACACCCTAATTTTTCCAGTTATTTATTGCAATTCAAGTCGTGCAAGTCCAATAAAGAGCTTGAAATTGTACAAAGGTAAGAACTCGAACAGACAGAGGTTTAAAAAAAGATAAAAGATACAAAACACAAGTCCAAGCTCTGCCAAAACTACCTCAGGAAAAAAGAACAAGACGGTAAACTTGAAAACATGAAGTGTCCAGCAGCACAGTGTCCAGACTTAAACCCCATCGAGCTGGTTTGGGATGAACTGAACAGAAGAGTGAAGCAACCTACAAGTGCCACACATTTATGGAAACTTCTGCAACAGACTTGGGAAGAACTTTCTTAAGGATACTTGATTTCTATTATCTATCTACTATCTAGTGTGTTCAGCTGTTAAATCTGCCAAAGGTGGACACTTTCATGAAACAAAAGTTTAGAATATGTTTTGGTCAACAGTAAATGGTAAAAAACTGGAAAAAATTTAGTGTTCTGAAACTTTTGTCCGGCAGTGTAAGTTGTCAGAAAGATTGGAGATGTTTCTAGAAACTTGAAAACAGCATTTTAATTTGAGTTTTGTAACATTTAAAGGGCCTGTATCAATTTTTTTTCTCATGTATTTGAACAAAAAATGTCTCGCCACAGAACTCAGCAAAAAGTGGAGTGTTAAAATTGACTCTCACAGAATCAGTTTTAACTTTTTCTCAGGGTTTATATAAGTTCAGTATGTTCTAGAGTTAATTTAACTTTTTTGGAAATGTTAATGAAGTAACACTGAACCAAAGTTCCTGTTTAACCCCGAAATCAAGAGTTATATTTACATTTTGTGCGTAAACAGATAACACTTTGTAGAGTTATACTGATTTAGCTAAACAACACACAGAGTTGTTTTATTTTTACACTTTATTTTAGTTAATTTAAGATGAAATTATGTGGAAAAACTGGTTCAAACTGGTCTTCTCTCGTGGGAGTTTGAAGTGGTGGGAGGGAGGTGCCAAATTAACACTAAAGGAAGTTGAAATAACACTAAGGGAAGTTGAAATAACACTAAGAGAAGTTGAATTAACACTAAGCGAAATTGAATTAACACCAAAGGAAGTTTAATTAAAACTAGGGAAAGTTGAATTAACACTAGGAGAAGTTGAATTAACACTAGGAGAAGGTAAATTAACACCAGGGGAAGTTGAATTCACACTAAGGGAAGTTGAATTAACACTTTGAAAGTTCAATTAACACTATGGAAGTTAAATTAACACTAGGAGAAGTTGAATTAACACTGGGGAAGTTGAATTAACACTAAGGGAAGTTGATTTAACACTAGAGAAAGTTGAATTAACACTAAGAGAAGTTGAATTAACACTAAGGGAAGTTGAACTGACTTCAACTATATCCAACTCAAACCCGCATTTAACTTTCAAATTGTTAAAATAACACTTTTTGTGTTAAAAACAACTCAAACATATATGTCACCCTGAAATTTTAACCCTCCTGTTTTTGCTTTGTACAGATATATCGTACAAACAGCTCTTGAGATCATATACGTAAGTCTGCTCTAAAGTGTTTTCATGTATGATAATCAGGAAGTGCACATTAGCATGCGTGAAAAGTGCTTATAAACTCATTGTGGTGAATAATTAGGATGCTCCGAATGCATAAGGTAAGTGAGGAATAACTTTGGAACACTGCAAACCATTTCAACTGTTTTTAAGACAATAAAAATTTGTAGTACCTTAAAAAAAAGTCACATTTATCATATATATTTTTTTACTTTACATAAATACCTGCCAGGGGGGTCAAAATTACAGTCTCAGATCTTATCTAGGTACAGTTCTTTCGTTCTCTAAAGTTCAAGGCTGGGTAAGTGAGTAAATTCAAAAAAACTATTCAAAAAATGTATACAAAACGGTGTGACTGTGGTATACCCTTTAGAAGGCCTTGAGTGAACAGGCCCAAAACCACAAAATGACAAAACAAAATCAACAAGCGGCAAATATTTAGTAATCTTGAAACCGAAAACGATGAATGAGATGTGAAAGTAATATTTGGAAACAAGAAACATCCTTGTAAGAACTAAAATCCAGCCAAGTTCAAATCACTTGAATTACAAATGAAAGAATGGACATGAAAAAAAACATGTTGGTACATTTAAGATGAGAAAAACAATAACTCTTTGCTCTTAAAAAAAATTTAATTAAGAAAAACACACTTATTTGTAGTAGAAAAGTTTACGTGTCAAGTTGAATCTACTCAAAAAGTCAAGTCAAATGTTCTTAATTTAAAGGCGCATTGTGTAACTTTTCTGGTGGAGGGTCCGTCAAATGTTTTGCCGTATGGAGAAAAAAGTTATTGCTTTGTCTGGAATGTTCCACAGTATGGCATTAAGGCTAAGTTTATATCATGTGGCGTTGCATCTTCAGTTTTTATTCCGCGTTTAGATGAGCGTTTTCAGGAGGAAATCTGCGTGCATATGGTGACGCAACAGTGTGTGGAATTCGATTGGGTATGCATGCCATCCGACATGTTTGTTTCTGTGTACTGTATGTATGTGACGTAAACGCGTACGTGACCTGAGCAGATCTGACCAGAGTTCCGTGTCTTGGGCAGTGTAGACAGAAACACTACGGTGGAGAGTATTCAACTTTTCCACTCTGGAGGGTGGTTTTTATTTTTGCGTTTTTAAGCCCCAAAAACGCCGTCACCGTCTAAACCGCAGGTGTCAAACATACGGCCCGGGGGCCAGATCCGGCCCTCCAAGACCTTTAATCTGGCCCTCGGCTGATTTTCTACTAAAATATTTTAATCATATTTTCTATTAAAATATTGTTAATTTTCTGTGGTGTTTATCACAGCAGCGTCTCCAGCGTCTCTGTACGTGGCCCCTCCCACCAGAGCAGCACAAATGAAGACTTGTCTCTTTCCAAACGCTCTTACAGGACGATCGTTTTGACTGTTGACCGTGACACCCTCATCAGAAAAATGTCCAACATGAGAAAAGTGGAGCCGAGTGCAGGATTTTCCAAGAAAAATGGACTTACTCCTATTTGCAAACAAGTTCATGTTAAAACATTGTGTTGAAATAGCATTTTTTTTTTCATAATATTATAATTTTTTGTAATAGAAAGAGTTCATCAATTTAAAAAGATTTCTGTAATAGATTTGCGTTTCTCTGCACAAATATTTGAACTTATTGTTATTTTTGGGGTTTATATGACATGAGTTTTCTGATCCGGCCCCTTTGGGATCAAAGTAGGTTGGATACGGCCCCCGGACCAAAATTAGTTTGACACCCCTGGTCTAAACGAAAGGCACTTCCGATAAAACATTTAGTCGTTTTACCTGCAAGTGTTCTCGTGTAAACAGACAAAAAACGTTTCTATCATCATGGAGACCAAACCAGACCAAGTTACAGGTCAGATCTGTGGAGAGGCGACCCCGCTCACAGTCAGAATGTTGTTTTTCTAGGTATTTATGAGCGATAAAACCACCTGTAATTTGAATAAATGTAAAGTAGAGCTATTTAATGTCATACTGTGGAACATTCTCGGCAGAGTGATGACGTATCCATAGAAACAAGCAGGTGATGGAACCTCTGCCAGAAAAGTTACACAGTGCACATTTAAGGCATTTTAACTGATCTAGATATTACTTTTTGCAGTACAAATTTGCTGGTGTCATTTCAAGGACATTACACAAGTTTTTGATACTTAAACACACAAACCCTGCACATTTAGGCTGAGTTCTCAAACAGAAACACTCTGTTCCACCTTGTGATGTCACGTGGTAATACAGGAAGTGCTCCATTGTGTCTTTAAACTCCACAGACCTTCACTACAATCATTTGGATTTCTAGACTCATTTGGATCATTTCAGCCCTGGAATTTTTACTGAACAAAAAGTAAAAGGAGCTGTTAACTTGAAAACTACCGCTTCATGACATCACAAGGTGGAACAAAGCATTTTGTAGACAAACTCCAGGTACAGTATGTTTTTGAGGAGGTAACAACATTATAACATGATTTAAAGATGCTTGTGTAACTTTTCTGGTTTAGGGTCTGTCAAATGTCAAATGTCAAATGTCAAATTCTCTGGAAATGTTATTGCTTTGTCTGGAATGTTTCGCAGTATAGTTCAACCTTTCTGTCTTCATGGAGACCAAACCAGGCCAAGCTACAGGTCAGATCTGTGGAGAGGCGACCCCTCTCAGAGTCAGAATGTTGTTTTTCTAGGTATTTTTGAGCTATAAAACCACCTGTAATTGAATAAATTTAAAGTAGAGCTGTTTAATGTCACACTGTGGAACATTCCAGACAGAGCGATGATAGAAACAAGCAAGTGAGGGACCCACAACAACCCAAAAAGTTACACAGTGCACTTTTTAACCTCACCAAGAATCCATTGTGTGTAATGTAAGACTAGGAATAATGAATAATTCAAGTATGTTTTTTCCTATCTATCTATCTATCTATCTATCTATCTATCTATCTATCTATCTATCTATCTATCTATCTATCTATCTATCTATCTATCTATCTATCTATCCATCCATCCTTTCTTTCTTTCTTTCTTTCTTTCTTTCTATCATCTATCTATCTATCCTTTCTCTTTCTTTTTTCTTTAATTTATTTATTTTTTCTATCTATCTACCTATCCATTTCTCCATCCATCTATCCATTTCTCCATCTATCTATCCATCCATCCTTTCTCTTTCTTTTTTCTTTTATTTATTTATTTTTTCTATCTATCTATCTATCTATCTATCTATCTATCTATCTATCTATCTATCTATCTATCTATCTATCTATCTATCTATCTATCTATCTATCTGTCTGTCTGTCTGTCTGTCTATTCATCCATCTATCCATCCAGCTATCCATCTGTCATCTATCCATCCATCCTTTTTTTTCTTTTTCTTTCTTTCTTTCTTTCTTTCTTTCTTTCTTTCTTTCTTT